GAAGCCCATTTATAATCACACAATAAATCTGAGGATTTCCAACCAGTCTGTACCTGTGTGAAATAGGGGAGAGGGAATTACTTGACAAATTCAGTTTTGATGTATTACCTATAACATCACCATCAGGATGGTTTGGGCTTCCTTATCGTAATTACAGCTGATCAGAAATCTGCCATCAATGCAATTTTTTCAATGACACACTGGCTTTTGACAAAAGCATTTTCCAAATAAAAAAATTACATGGTTTCTAGGGAAAAACGTCTACTTTACCAGCCAGCTGTAGCTATCACTACAGCTCTGAGTTCAGTATCGGTGTCTTTTCTTCAATAAGAGACTGAAACTTTGGAAATGGTTTAGAAAGGGCCAGAAGAGTGAACTTGGGTTCAGAAAGAACTGCCTAAAATATGAGATTAAGAAAACTCAATCTTAAAGCTCGCAAAGAAAAGCTTAAAAGATACTTCAATCACGGTCTGCAGTTACCTACACTGGTAAGGCTTCTGACAGCACAGGTTTTTATCTAGGGAAAGGACTTTGGAAAAATCACTGGGAAAGAGGACCCATGCCCTGAGTCCTCCTGGCTTACCCAGTGTTGCAGGTGAAGTTCACTGCTGAACCAAAATTCAACGTTTCTGCTACGATTCTGCCGTTGGCCGGCTCTCCAGGGTAGGTGCACTGCTTTGCTAGGGGACAACAGGGCTGGAGTTAGTTCTTATTTCCATTTCTTGAAGAATTGGGAAAATGCAGCAGGAAAGTAGAATACTCCTCCAATACTGAGCAAGGGGATGGACCAGAGACTTGCAGATTTCCCCTCCAACCCTAAATTATTGCATGATTCGCGATGCTGTTAAGACTTGCATGACCTGTAGCCAGCCCCTGCAGTCTAAGTGGGGTTTTGCAGTAACCCCGGCAAGCACAACAGCATTTCTTCACAGCTAAAAGGTTCTCCTACGGCAAGTTTGAAATACTTTTTTTGAACCAAGAGTTACAAAGTGCCTGAGCAGAACAACATCCTCTGAGTCAGCAAACACACACAGACAGCATCAAAGCAGATTTCTGCTTTTGCTATCATTGCCAGTACTTAGCTGAACACAACCGGTGCTTCATGTCAGGTCACTCAACTCCCACCATCACATGAGGTCACTGTGGGTACTGCTCCCCAAAAAATGAGCTGATAACATCAGTGAATAAAAAACAAAATCAAAAGTCAACACAAAATATACTCACGTATACACATCTCCTTTGATCCATGCCACTTATTGTTCCTTCCACAAACAAGGACATTTCGGGCATTGACATTTCTCACATAACCTGGACGACAGACGTATTCCACCACTGAATTATAGAAAAATGTGGTAATGTCACGGTATTGCTCTTTGAGTTCTGCAGACAGGAAACGTGGCGGAGCATTGCAGACACCTGCAGACAGAAACTCCATCAGAAAGACACTGGGAGGAAAGGCAGTGGGAGTTCAGGCCTGTTCTACTCTGAAAGTCCAGGTGAGGATACTTCAGTTGCCTTAAAATTTCTTAAAGTTAGAAAAAAGAGGAGAAGCATGGTCTGTGACTGGGGATGGCTGAGGCTGGCAGGGACAGTGGAGCATCATCCCATGAGGTCCTCCTCGCTCCTCACAGCTCACCCAGCAATTTCAAAGGCTAGTCACAAAGTCCAGATTAATCTTTTCCTCTCCCCAATTAGTATAAATCATTGCACCACTTTCAGCTGGAATAATTTTACGTCCATTTTACACAGAAAGGAAAAAAGGCAAAGGAAGATGGATTCTGATCACAAAGATTTACAACACTCTCAAAATGTAAAGGCAACGAGGAAAAGAGAAGGATCCAAGTCTTGTGAAGCCCAGGAGAAGGTTTTCCTTTGAGGGACCTTATCTTATCCCAACGGACTCATTCACTTACTCTGGACAGCCACAACAAAAGCAGCAACGAGGAATAACCCGAGGACAGCGGCACGATCCTTCTGCCTCCCCGGCTCCACAGCTGACATCTTTCTTTATTCTTGTCCAGAGATCCCACAGACGTTACCACATTCTTTTTCCAGGCCAAATATCTGCAAAAACAGGAAGGGGCTCTTTACACTCCAGATAACCATAGCTCATATGGACAGGTCGCAATTCTCCGTCCCTAAGCAGTTCTAAGTCGTGGCTGGGGAGCAGAAGCTGCGGGAGCCACTGCAATACCCTGCGAGGGAGCGGAGCGGCTCCTCGCTGGCTCCTCTCGGGCTGACGGGACCGAGACCCAGCACGGAGGAGCTGGGCTGCTGGGGCAGAGCTGGGTTCGGGTGAGGAAGCCTGGCTCCAGCACACCAGACCCAGAGACATGAAAGTACAGCATTAACAGGACAACTGACTGGAGATGTTAAGCAATTCCCACAGGCTTTATTCCACTAGTCTCATTTATTTTCATTTTTGAGAATGCAGCTTTTGATTAAAGCTTTAAAATAAAATTAAAAAAAAAAAACAACCAAACCTCCAAAACAGCTCCACTCAAATCCAAACATAATACTTTGTAGCTTGTCAGGTTTGACTTAAAAACACTATATTGCCAACATAGTGTTCTTCTCAGCCAAAATAATACTTGTGGGGCCATGAGTTTATCTACGCCTTCTGGAAAAAGTTCCCTGAAACTTATCTTACGGGTAAAATATTTTGCTTTAGTAATACATCTCTTGGAAGCAAATTCATAGTCAGATGAAATCCTGCTAGAGTCAGTACAGTCCCCTAGTAATAAATTACACGCAGAGAGAGGTATCTAATCAAAAAGATACATCAGTTTTGTGCAAATAACATTAACTGGAGTAAAGCTGTAAAGCATACAGGTCATTCAGGAGATCAAATGTCTTACCAAAGGGAATTTTAGTGCAATTTGGTCTAACCTGGCACCCCTAGAGATCAGCAAGAGTCCTGACTTTGTTATCCAGGATCATAATTTATAGCCTAAACCCTCCCAATGTTATGTACACTCCAAGTGCCTACCTTCCTCCTGGAAATGAGAGTCTTTCTTGGTCCTTTCTGCCCTAAACCTAACACTCCTCATGGCTGTTTCATTTCTCTGGCTTTCCTTCAATCCTTGAGACAGTTCTTGGTTTAATTTGATTTAATTTACTCATCTTTGTGCCTGCTGAAGTTGCCAGAAAGCTCCAATCCAGTTCCCAAGAGCAACACATGACTTGAATTTTTTTTTACCTGGAGGTCCAGCAGCAGGAGATGGAGAGACTCGGCGTGTTTGGCTCTTGCAAGACGAAGTGATGACTGGCCTTGTCCAGTCCCCCCAGCTCCGCAGCACTGGAGGAGGAGTTACGATACGCCTACATGCTCAGTTACGGCTCCGTGCAGAGAAGTCTGAATTTTGCAAAGACCAAAGTTGTGCCAGTTGACCCATAAATCATTAACTCCTCCTCTAAGCATGAAGGAAGTAGTTTATTGGACCCACAAAAGTGAAATACTAGAAAACTGAACGCAACCCAAGCAGATGTTGAAATTGTTTGTTTTCTGTGTGGAGCTGCCAACTATTTGTTGAAATGATCTTTGCTGAGCAGGACGCTGCCCATTCCACCGTGCAGCAACGGCACCCGGGCAGTGCCGGTCCCCTGGCGATGCCCAGGGACCTCGGGCACACAGTGGTGGCCTCCTCAAGAGGACTGCTTCACCCAGGGGCACGTCAGCCCTAAGCTCATCCCTTCTGACCTCAAAAGCCTGTGGCCAGTGTTCAAAATACTGTTTCTTCAACCAGCTCCATCCCATTAAAGCAACACCATCTGGAGCTCAGCAGCACGCGAGGTCCCAGGCAGCATCGCCCCGAGCTGAACGCGCAGGCCTGCGATGGGTAAACCCAGCTGCCCCTCGTCTCGCTGTAAGCTGTTCCCAAATCCAGCTGTCACCGGCGGGTCATTTTCCAGTAATAAGAGTTTTGGCAGAAGCTGTCATCATTTTCTCCTTTTGTACTTTGGCTGCACAGCTTCACCCAGGCTTGAATCCCCACCAAGAACCTGGCACCGGCTTTTTTACCCTGGGTTGGGCTTCACACAAGTATCTGTTTGTTCTTGCCAATTCTGAGGGGTTTTGCCAGAAAAATTTACCTTGTGCCTACGTCGAGTGGGATATATTACCGTTGTGAAGTTCCCCAAGTCCACGCCAAAACACAATGAAACAGATTCAGTTCTTGCTCTGTAAAACACGGCCCTCGCCCCACGAGCAGGGGCTTGCTCACAACAGGCCCCTCATCACTCCCGAGCAGGCACTGACCTCCACTAAATATTTACAAGAATCCAGTTAATCACAAACACAAACACAGGCTTTCTAGATTTTTTTTTTTTTTTTCCCCAGATGACTTGGAAGAAGCTGATTTGTGTGCTGAAAAATCGGCAGCTTGCCCTCAGGCCCCCAGGAGGTTATTTAGCACAGGGTGCTCAGGGCCACGAGCATCAGCCATGGCCCAGCAACACCAAAAACCGTCCCCTGCTCCCACGGCTCCTGAACACCCCCCAGCCTGCAGTGGGATAAACAGGATAAAAGGGGTTTTCCTTAACCACATTGAAGGTCATTTATCTTCAGGCTGGGGCTGGTGAGTCCCTTTGGAACCAGCTGGTTTCCAGCTACAGATGCTGGAAATCAGAATCACAACCAGTTGTTCTGCTTAATTTCTTTTTCTCCCTAGAAAGAGATGTGCTTTAAAAAAAAAAAAAAAAAAAAAAAGTGTTCCTACCCTAACAGTTCCACAGAAAACCTGAAAAATTTGAATTCTGATAGCTCAAATCAAAACACTGTTAAAACTGATGAGGGAAGGGAATGGCAGTAGCAGCTCTGAGCTGCAGGATTCACCATTTCCAGCCCAACTCCCAAAAGCCAGGGATGCCTGCCCTTCCCTGCAGAACTTCTTCCTCCACACACTTTCCACAGACCCCCTGAATTCCCCATTATCTCACAAAACCAGCACACAACAGGTAGTTATAACAAACAGTGGAAAATAACAGAGGAAACTAGATTATTTTTTTTTTTTTTTAAATCTCTTTATTGTAAATGAATGCTCATGGGGTCTCTATGCTCAGGTGCACAGAGTACACAACATACAGCACAAGTTTATACACACCGCATTTTATTTTTTTTTTAAACCTAAGAAACCATCAGAAAGCAGTAGCGTAGCAAAATTGCAGGTAGACACCTAACATCTGTCTCGGTAAACACTAAATACAGAGATGCGTTTTGCAAACCGTTCAGAGCCAGAGGAGCAGCAGCGGAGGTGGAGGTGGCCCTGGCAGCGCTCGCCCAGTGCCCTTCCGAGGAGCACGGGGTGAGGAGACCCAGGGCAGGCAATTCCTGGACGCGGTGCCTCTCCTCCCAAGGGAACTGGGCATCCCCGGCCCCCACCGCCGAGCTGCCGGGAACCTTGCAGAGCCAGCAGCTCTAACGTCACAGCCAGCATACACAAACTCAAGTTACCCGGCTTCCTTTTAAGCCTTTGTCCTCCCTTTCCAATTTTCCCCATCACCAGCAGCACAGATGGGAAAGAGAACGGGGTTGTTTGTTTTTTGGGTTTTTTTGGTGTTTTTTTTTTCCTGTCAGAGCGATCATTTTGCTCTAGAACAATGCTGACAGGGCAGCCAGTCCCCAGACTGCAGCGATGCAGGTCCCATGGGTGGCCCTGCCACTGCTCACTGGGGGTGACAGCAGGCACCACCACCTCTGCTGATAGAAACGGAGAGAAAGTCAGGAAAATACAGGAAAAAAACCCAAACCCCAGCGGTGGTGCAGTGCTCAGGAAGGCGCCGAGCCCACCTTCACACCTCCAAATTCACGACACCTCTTCCTGCCCATCCCGACACCAGCTCTGGTACAACTGACAGCACAAGCCACTGCTAATCCTCAGTTCAGGTACATTGTGTAACTGTTGTTTATTCTAGGGTATTTGTATGCACAGTGCCAAGGAAATCAGGTGATTTCAAGGAAATACCTGGCACGGGAACCCGCCAGCCTGTTTGGGGCTGGGGAGACCTGTGGGGTCACTGGTGTCACCCCAGCCTGGCCACCCCAGAGAGCTCGGGGCTCGGCAGGACCCCAGGACCTGCCATGGCAGGTACAATTCACCTGCCTGGAAATTATGAGGATCACAAACCTGCTGCTGCTCTGCTCTAGAAATGCATTTACACACTTTTTGAAAGTTAAAATGCAGGAGGAAGAGGCTATAAGTTAAGCTTTAATTAAAGCACCGAGGCACAAATACTGCTATCTGCAGAGGTGACTGAGAGGTTCCAGCCCACGACCCAGCAGCCCACAGCCAAAGCAAGGACCCACTCGATAGGAATAAAGGGAATAAAGGACCCACAGCCAGTGATTCAAACTGCAGACCTGATTTTTAGCAGTGATTAAAAAAAAACAAAAAAAGTTACGACTGCCAACATATTAGCAGCTACATTCATGAATCCTGGCAGGTGAAAACATGCTTTGTCTCCTTAACTACTACTCAATGATACAAATATAATTAACTCTTTAGCGAGTTATTACAGCATATTGTGCGTAAACATCCTACAGTACATTCCTACTCCTTTTTCCCCAGCAGAGCAGGAGGTTTCTCGGTCGGAGAAGCCAGCCCAGTGGGGTGTGGGTTTGTGCGTTTAGAGCATTATTGGAGAGTGACAGCAAGTATTACTGTATAACAGGCTATAAATGTTTTCCTTCATTTTTTTTTTTTTTCCTTTTCTGGCTTAGTTCTAAGCACTGTAACATTTAAAACCAAAGAACAGACGGTGCTGCTCCTGCAGAAGGCTGTAGCAAACCTGCGCCCCAGTGGGAACAGCCCGAGGAACAAAACCAATAAAACTCAGTTTCTCACCCACTGCATTTTGTCCCTCTGTGGGGCAATGGTTTTAGATCAACACACGCTTCTGCTCCTCAGAAATCCTAAGGGGTCAGGATTAGTGCCTGGGCTTTTGCCATGGACCCCTCTATCTCAGCTTTAACAAATTAAAGCTCTTGGAGTGTTTAAAATAACCAGGTTAGAGCTCAAAATCCCCAGGTAAACCTCAGGCTTTGGGGCTGCTGAGCTCCTCCACAGCCAGGGCCAGGATGCCGGTATGTTTCTCAAGCACGGATCCCTGATGTGGGTATGGCCAACATCTATTTACATATTTAAAATAAGCAACCTCAGTCCCAGAAGTTGCTCCTATAAATCCTGGAGACACTGGAAACAGCAGGCCCAGAACAGCCTCCTGCTTCGTACCCAAATGCTCCTTTCTTCACCCAACCTGAGGATTTTGCCCTTATTGCAAGAACAGTGGGAATGGGGTAAAAATGGAGTTTGGCAAAACACAAGTCAAGACTCATGGGAGAAAAGTGTAAATCTGGGGTTTCAGTGGGGCTTCAATAACACACAGCCATCACACGAGCCGTGCCGCAGGGGAGTTTCACCATCTATGCACTAAATACTAAAGCAGCTTAAACCCTACTGAAGGCAGCATTATACATCAGTAACATTCACAGCTTATTCATAGGCAAGTTCAAAAACTTGTTGTGGGCCTAAAATTTGGTACATTAGAGACAGCTAGTAAAAAACATCTGCTTCTTGCAAACCCTGCACACTCAGCCTCGCCGTTCCCAGACACTGAGCAAAGAGATGCTCAGATTTTCTGTTCTAAGAGATAAAACCGTCCACAAAACCCAGGAAAAATGAGTGAGAGGATGAGGCTTAGATCAGGGTGCAACACTAAAGCAGGACTTGAGTTCAGGTTCAACAGTACTGGTAGCTAACGCTGTTTCCAAAGAGTGACAGGAGCTTTTATTCCCTTTTGCCTCTCGCAGGAGACATCCCACAAGATCTGGTGACCTGACAAGTGCCTTCTGTTACACCTTGTGCAAAAAGCCTTCCCAAAGCACAGAAACAGGCTCAGATCAGGAGATCCAAATCTGCAGTCCTGAAAGCAGAGTCCAGTGGTACCTGGAGCTCTTTCAATGGTTAAATAACACAATAACTGCATTTGAACTTGGAAATGGTAACAGCTAAAACATTGGGGATTTGGTCTGGTAACAAGTCTTCCAAAGAAAAGCTGCTTCAGCAAGTATGGATATGACCATTTAGTCCTCATATACACTGCAATTAATTTTGCTACCTAACCAGGAGGGAAGACATGGAACACTATTTTAACAGCCCAGAAAGACCAGGGATATGTTAGCTCACACATATTAAAAGCAGGTTGAAAAACCTCCGTAATAAATTTTCTCCGACTTCACTGACAGACATTTCAGCACTCGGAAAGAAAAGACACAGACAGACTCTAAAAACACATTTCAGAGGAGAGTACTGGCCAAAGCGGCGTGCAGCTCACTGTGCTCCGGGGATGCTCGAGTCCGTTCCGCAGGGCTCTTCTGGCCACGGGAATCCCAGCCGAATCCGAGATGAACTCACAAACCTCTACACCGTTAAACCAGCCATCCTCTACAAATAAGAGATAAATGGTACGGGTCATACCAAGGGGAAAGTCTGGAGACGGTAACGCAGGGGACAGCAGAGCTCAGCTCTGTGCTGGGGACAGACAGACAGACACTCAGCAGCACCCAGGTGGATGCAACCAGCTCCACACAGTTGTTCCACATGACAGTAACCATCTGAGGATTTACTGATTTACTTCTAGCCAAGCAAACAATGAGCTGCTTCACATTTTGCATCGTCCTTTAACTTCCTACAAAGCTCAGCACAAATAGTTTCCCAGCATCAGCCCGAGACCATGCAAGCTCAGCTTTTCTGGAGTGTCTTGGAGGACAGCAGGCAATAACGAAGCAGACTGGTTTCTCAGGGTTACTTGCTTTTATTTATCTTCTCTACAGGAAAGTACACTTCCAGGACAAACGTAAGAAACATTACAGCAATTATTTTGTATGTTAACCACAATAAATACTTCTAGTTTTGATAAAACTTCCACTGCCTCACTGAGGGTCCAACAGACAACAGGAACACAGTCAGGTCAGTACAACTGAACTACATATTTACAAGTGCACAATCACACAAGTTAAAATCCAACAGCCAGCTGCTGTTCATGCAATGTCTCGGGGCACAGAAAATGTTCAAAGGGCTCCAGTCTCACAGTGCCCCGTGCCTGCTCTGCTCAGCTGCGGCGCTTTGAGACTGCAAACCGATGTGTAAATCAATATGGGCAACTTGCCTTGTTACCTCGCCAGCACTGTTTTGCAATAAAAAAAATGGCACAGCCATGGAGCCAATTTGCTGACATTTAACAGCAAGCATCAACACTTAAAATCCAACAGGCAGGAAATCTAGATCCTACATATTTTCTATCTGCAATTAAAAAAAAAAAATCTAACCAGCTTTCCTGACAATGACACTTAAAAACTAACTGTCATTAGAGAGAGGCAATCTGTAATAGCTGCTCTCATGCTATTTTCTCAAGCACAACACCAGCACTAAGAAGGAAGAAGGTTTGTACTGGAATCAAGAAAGTTGGACCAAGTTACCCTCTTTTATCCGCAAACCCTCCTAGGAAGACTGTGTTATTTAAGCATAGGGGAAAGAAACACACAAAGTGCAGCTTTAGAAAACTAATTTTGCAAAGCTTGCATATACATTCATTTTCCAAACACACAGCTCCTTATGGCACAGAGTAAAGGCAAATCCAAAGGGGCAAGGCTTTGATTTTTAGCCTGTGGATAACTGTCCTCTGATTTGATTCTAAATTAATATTACTCAGTATATGAACAATGATTTATCAGATTTATCACAAGCTCCCTCCAGTCAGGTTCTTTCTCCTTTTCCCCTCATCTTCAGCATTAAGGCCTCTGAAACCAAGGGAGATGGGCAACTTTAGGATAAGTGTGCTCTTTTTGCACTGCTCCTGGTTGGACCATTCCCAAGTCGTTCATCCTGACATGGGAGATGCTCTGCAGCAATTCCTGAGCTTGATGCTTTGTGCGCTTCCGCGGCTTTGGCAGGACAGTCAGTAAGGAAACTCTGCAGCATTACTAAAAGTGCTTTCACAAATTAGAGAACAGGAGACAGAGGCATGTAACTTTAGGATCGATCCCATACCTTTGTGTTCTATGGCACGTGTAAATATCAGAGATGGAGAGAGACAGAGCAGTCGCATTGCAAAAATTTGTTGGAAGAACTTCACTTCAAGGACAAAGTGCAATTAAAGTCAAAAATAAAAATGCATATCCAAATGGCCCAAGACATTCAAGCAGGAGTTCCTCAGGCCTACGGCAGCGTGACCTGCACCCCACCGCTGCGGGGACCGCCCTGCCACTGTGGAATGGGAGCCAGCTCCCCACCCAAACCCGAATCCTCTCCTGACAGCCGACATTTGGAAACTGAACCAGCTATCACCTTCCTTTCTCAGCACTCAGCTCTCCCTTTGACACCAGAGCACCAGGAGATTTGCCCAAAGGCCCAGGGCAGAGGCACGGAGGGAGCAGAGCTTTGCCAAGGAGCAAGGGCAGGTCAGCACCGACCCCAGCAGCCCATGAGCAGCAACCTAAAGCCTCTGAGGACAGAGCTTGTGCCCCCTCTGAGCCCTCCCTTAGGCACCACCACCCTTGGGTGCTCCCGGCCACAGCCTGCTGCTCCCTCAGAGGGAGGGCACCGCGCTCCCAAAGGTGGGTGGAAGCAGCGGGGGGCTGTGGGTGACCCCAGCACGTGGGGACGAGCACGGCACCGCACGGATGCGGCATGAGAGCCATCCCACAGCCCCACGCAGGGACCTGCTGTGCAATACAGCTGCCCCCCCCCCACCCCAGACAGAGCACCTGAACGGCAAAAAGCTTTTACAAGGCAAAAGAAAAAAACATCCGTGATTCATGGATTGCACGAGGTGGGACAGCCGGTAAGCCAAGCGAGGGGCTGCAGCGGGGTCTGCCAGAGCCACCAGCAGAGCAGGGGTGAGGGGCTGGGCCTCGGGGCCAGTGGGAACATGGCAAGGCGAGGGCATCTCTGGCCTTTCTGCGCAGGGCGGCAGCCAAGGTCTCATCCGAGCCCCTTACTCGGAGGCCGAGAGGGAAGCCGAGGTCTCGCGGGTGACGCTGGCTGCTGGCTCCCTGGAGAGGGGGGACAGACGAGGACATGTTCTCCCCTTAGGGTAGGAGAAAGAGAGTCCTGCTCTCTTCACCCCCAAAGATGCCTGCAAAGGGATGTGATGGTGAGGACTCGGTGACAACTGCCACCTACACAGAAAGGTTGATCCACCCAGCTGCTTTCCAAGCGTGCGCTGAACCCACACAGCTCCCTCGAGTCACGGGGAACTGGGGCTGAGCAGCACCACTCCTGTCCAGGCTACGATCCGGCAACTCCTGCAAAACCCCTGCAACCAGTAACACCACCACACCTCGTCCCAGGCGGAGAGAGCACCAATGTGGGACCCAGCACTGCTCAGGACAAGCTACGTGGCTCAGCCCAGCAGCACCAGTGCAGAACCATCCCACGTCCTGGTCCAGGGATGCAGCAAGCTCGGGGTGGAACACACTTCTGCAGGCAGGCAGCAGAAGCACGATGCACCAGTAAGTCCAGCTGGAGCCCCTGGATCAACAGGCTCAGCCTGGCAACATATTCCTCCCCCACTGAGGTCCCCCTTAATGACAGGTTATTGTACAGCAAAATACTTCCTTCTGCTCCAGGTGTTTGTCTTTCCCCAAAATAGTTTCCATGCAACATTAGTCAAGAGAAGTCCTACTTACTAAATCAAAAGAGTACATACAAGCTGCTTTCAGTGGTACTCACAGGCAAGCATTTCCCCCTTGAGGCTGCAAAGGAAACAGAAACAGCACAGGATAGCTCATAGCGCATTTTAAAGGAGATTTAACAATATTAGTAAAAGCAGCAAAGCAAATGAGGAAAGAAGTGAAACAACCCCCAAGATTTCATGTTAGGGAGCTCAGGGCAGGCTTGGATCACAGCAGGAGCTGACCCAAGGCAGGGACATGGTGTGCTGCAGGGCCCGGCCACCCCCTCCACGGCTGCTCGGCTCCAGGGCTCCATCTGGGCAAGAGGCCCCAGGAGAGCTCGACCGCCCACCGCCCGCACGGCCCCAGAACCCAGCGCTTACTAAATGCTGCTCCACCCCAGAGCTGTCAGTGCTTTGCCATTACGATTCCGAAGGGTTCAAGTGCAAACAGGGAGCGGGGTGGGGATCCCCGGACTGGGGCTGCCCAGCTGGAGACACCCACAAATTAAGGCCTGGGGCAGTCAGGGTCCTCTCCAGCTGAGACTCTTCCTCCAGCACTGGGCCAAACCAACCCCCCCCCCCAGTGCAAAGCCCTGTCTGGGCCAGTTCTCACTGGAGCCCTGGGATTTTGGGGATGCCTCAGGCTCTTCACTGAGCATGAAAACACCAGCAATGTTCACCTGTGCTGCACCAGCCCTTCGTTTACCCTCTGGCCACTGACTCTGCTAACAGGGAGGAAGAACACAAGAAGCTGGGCTCACTGAATACCTTAACCTCTAAAGTATCCAAGATTATTTTAGTTTTAAAACAGCTTTGGTAACAATGGCTGTATCTGTATGAGGGGCCCAGCCAAGACCTCCAAGCCCCCCACACCCCCCATCTCTGCCTCATCTGACAGGCAGCAGCGTGCAGCCCGCTCTGCCTGCGCTCTCCCAGGCACAGAAAAACTCCTAATTTAGCAGAGAAACTATTTTAAGTGAGCAAAGAAACAAACAGGGCTTCACATCCAACACTGATGAAGACATACATGCAGTTAAGGCAGAAGAAACATCAAGCACCAAAACCCAAGCTGCTTTAATTTGGGCACCCAAAGAGCCCAAACTTTGTTGAACGCACTGACAAAATCACGGACGCAAAGATTTCCTACCATGTCACTCCATGGCAAGAGCAACACTTGGCTGCAGCATCAAATTAGGACAAAGAGGGTGCATTTAACTCTTTCCAACCAGCTTTCTGCCAGAAAACAAGATATCACCCAGAATTAACCACCCTGCCAAACCCCTGTTGCGCTGATGGAAACTCGCCTGCACGAAGTCTGACTTTGAAAGCCTCTGGCACCACAATTCTAGTTTAATGAGGTAAACTTTTGGTGGTTTTTTTTTCTGTTGTTTGTTTTTTGTTTTGCTTCGTTTTGGTTTAGTGTTGTTGCTTGTTTGGGGTTTTTTGTTGTTGTTTTTTTTTTTGTTGTTGTTGTTTGTTTGTCTGCTTTTGGTTTGTTTTGTTTTTTAAAGGGAGTCTAATCCAGAACAATTTTCACGCAGGAACAGAGATGGTGTTCAAGACCCTGGGAAGGGTCTGTATTTCAGAGAGGACCACCGACAGCCACGGGTGATGGTGGGGAGGGGGAGCATGGGGAAGGTACCACCTGGACACCGACTTGCAGCTGCGGCTGGTCGGCCCCATCTCGAGCTTCCAGGGATGGGAAAGGCCCCAGCAGGTCGAGAGGTTTGCTCCCAACGCTGTAATGTCGTGGGCGCTTTACCGTGTCCGCGCTGGCCCGCGGCGTAAAGCTGTTTCTTCTCATCCTTACAGGGCTTTGGTTGGCGGGAAGGTGGTTCTGATCCCAGACGGAGGGTATCGCAAGGAATGAAAAGGGGAACCACAGTTTAAAACCACATTGCACACCGGCACACGCCTCTGGCAGCCCCACCCCCAGGCACCCCAGTACCCCCAGCAGCCGGGGCCGCGGCTCGGTGAACCCCACATCCATCCGCACCAGCACGACCGCCCCGTGCCTCCCCCAGCTGAGCACCAGCGGTGGCAAACGACCTGCTCTGCCAGCTAATCTGGCTCAGAGTCCACTGAAAAGTCTGCTTTTTTAGCAGTTTTACTTCCCTTTGGGATTTTTTTGCTTAGGTGGCTTTGTTTGGGTTTTGTTTTCTTGTTTTTTGTTTGTTTTTTTTTTTTTTTTTTCATCTCCGCACAATCAATTTAGAGGGGCGAAAACAAAACAAAAAAAAAAAAAAAAACAAACACCAAAAATAGAAAACTTTCCCTTCTTTGTGTTTCTTCTCCCCCAAAGCAGCCGCATTGCCCAGGTAAAACAAAGAACAGAAACGGCCTCCAACTTTTCTGAGCGGGCAGCAACAATTTCAACACAGGCATCACACAGAAGTTGCAAAGCAATAAATGCCCAACTGGAAACCACCACCACAGGACAAGACACAAAAATCTTGCCAAATATCCTCAGTTCAGCATTTTGCAGTCAGCTGGATTTAGCTCCACAAATGCTCCAGCCACAGATGCAGGTTCCAAGTTTCTCTACCCCTTGTTCATGGTCCCTCAGCATAGGGGACTCCTTTATGCTGGGACAAAAATCAACCATATTCCAGGCAATCAGCCAATAGCTCTTTATAAAATACAACGACAAGCAGCAGCTAAAAGCCTAAACGTACCAAAAGAAATGAAAATGCCATACACTTAGATTTCCCGTGAGCTAGCAGAGAGTTGTTTCGTGCTCTTTAATTGGGGGAGCTAATTACAGGCAATCACTAAGCGGCATTCCCCGGCACACCACCAGTCCCTCTGCAAAACAGTGTTTGCAACGCAAACACCTGAAATAGCAGCAGCCTCCACAGATTCAGCACGTAGATATGTGCTTTGCTGAAGAAAGTGGAGGGCTGAAGAGTTATCTAAGTAACGGGAGAGACAGGCCATCAGAAATAAAGCCAATAAGGGTCTGAAGCATCTCCACTGCTGTTGTAAGAAGATTCGCAGTGCAAGGGAAGTAAATTGGACCCATTTCCTTCCACTCCGATATACACAAAGTTTAGGAACACCACAGTCTTGCCTTGCACCAAATACTTGTCTCTGCAGATTTCTTGTGTGTTTTAAAAGGGAAAAACCTCCACTCCTCCCAGTCCCCAGCCCCTAAGGGCTGCAAACGCTGCCGAGAGCCACCGCGAGCCTGTCCCAGAACCCAGCCTCAGCCTGGCTGCAGCTTTAGAAAGAGAAAGCTCATCAAGACAACGAGAAAAATTCACTTTTAACATTTTGGTGAGTCTGTATGAAATGATCCCAGTTAATGGAAGCAAGCATCAACAACAAATACTTGACCGAAAACAAGACGGGGAATTTAAAATCCATGTCCTCAATTTGCCCATTCTGCTTCCTACAACAGCGCTGAGAAGTATCTCCTCCTGGCCTGAGAAGCACTCTAATTCAGCCTACAATTAATTCTGCTTTTGGGGATTATTTGTGAAGAAAGCCCTTCTGGTCACTGAAAGCAATCAGCCATTTCTAGCAGGTATTTAGGAGTGCTTCAGTTTAGGTACTTATTTTTGAAAGGGGAAAAAGCCAGACCTGCACAGCAGGACTTACTGAGTTCAGAGAGGGTTTGTCACGGTGAGTGTTCACTGCTTCCACGCTCAGGGTAATGGTCTCCACTTTACAACCTTTACCAAAAAGAAAGAGTTTATATGAGAAAGGGTAATGTATTAAATAACCTTTTTTTTTTTTTTTTAATATTGAAAACAGCATGTAAAGTGAACAGGAATAAATTTTTTATTTTTTTAAAAATAAACTAGTTCATAAATAAACAGTTCAACCTATTAACAAAATTTTACACTTTAACTACTTTCTGGCTTTGACCTTCACTGCAAGAGCACAGCCTGGTGTTAAGCAGACTCCAGGTCCATCTAGAAAATCCATTTTTAACTGACTGCACCCCAGAGCCAAATCCAAGTTTGGAAGCACAAACAGCCGCCTTCATCAGCAGGTGAAATCCAGAGACAGTTATCACTTGTTTAAAAGACAGGCCACAGGAGAGCACCCCCACACCCACAAACCTCCCCCCGCACTGTTCCCCCAAAACCCTCCCACTCTCCAGAACCTTTTTATGTGTTAAAAAGATTACCAGCAGCTTTTACACCCCATGTGGTTGCCGCTGCAGACAGACAGACTCGCCCATCAGATTCACACACACACACATACAGAAACCAGGGGAAGATCACAAAAGAAAAATAAGACAATATTTACCGTATGCAACAGGCGTGAGCTTGAGAATGGTGTGGAGCGGGCAGCGCAGGTAGGGCAGCTCATCTAGGACAGAGGTGGGCGTTACGGGGGGGGCGTTACGGCTGCGCCGGGGGTGCCCCAACCAGCCCCCCCCCCCCCCCCCCGTGCTTCATGTGTGACCATTCACAAAGCAAATAGTGGACACAACCAGCACGAGCGCCTTGTGCCCAGGCAGACGATGCCGCAGCCCCCCCCGGACCCCTCGACCGCCCTTCCCCAGCCCCCCAGCAGCGCGACAGGACTGCCCCCACCATTTCTAACACACGGGGCCGGCCCGAGGAAACCCCTCCAGCAGCTCACGGGTGGGGAACCACCACAGCAACAGCCACCACAGACCCCTAAGAGTTCTAAATAAAACTTTATTAACTTTATTAAAAGTTTTATTAAACTCCCGTGAAGCTGGAGCTTCATAAAGGAGCTTGCAGCAGACTGGGCCTAGCTTCCAGGCGACTATGCCATGCAAGGGATCAGCATTTCTCAGAGATGTAGCACTGCTGCCAACCCTTCCAGGCTACCGATGCATCAGAAAACTTCTTTATGTTAAAAAATAGTCCCCTACAGATTGTCGGTGCTACTGGTGGAAACAGCTCCAGAAAACGGCTGAGCTGAAAACCGGCAGCACACGCATCTGCATTTCTCACCAAGAAAGCTTCTTGCTGAGCTCTGTGCACCACTGAAATGTAATGGTTAAAGTATTTCAGACATGTTTTCTTTTTTCTTTTTTAAGCAGCTCTTCCTTTGCGAAAAATCAAAACAGTAATTACAAGCCACCCTCCCAAAAGCTCTGCAAAAGCAGCAGTGAGAGAAGCCAGCCCCCAACATCATGCATTTATTTTTGTACCTGCACTCTTGTCAAGAAAATAAGCCAACAGGCACCTCATAACCGCCTGGTGGGAGATAACGAGGACGTTGCCTTGCCTTTCTAGCTCCATAATTACTGGCTCCAGGCGCTGGACCAAGTCCTGGTAGGACTGAAAAACAAAACAGGAATTTTTCAGGGGGTTTTGTAAACAGCAGCTTAAAGAAGAAGTAGCAATTAACACAGCTTCACATTCAGGAAAATATCAGTTAAAATATCAAAATGCAGAAGTTATGGATGATCCAGTAAATACAGAGGGGAAAAAAAAAAAAAAGCAGAAAAGGTGAAACTTAAAGTCAGCAACCCTCAGATTACAGGACGATTCATAATACTGGTAACTCTTAATGAGTGCAGTAAGAAAAACAAATAAAATAGTAAATTATACATTTAAACAAGGTTGTGAAGTAAAACCAGAAATGACTCCATACCACACCCACAATCATTTTCTTTCCAAGACTGTTTGTCATAGTGACAACTCAGGCCTCAGCCAAGCAAGCTGGACGCAGAAACCCCTCGGTGTCTGAGAGGAGCATCAAGGGATACAGCAAGTGGCCCAACTAGTAAGACTGAAAGGCGTATGATTCCACAATAAAGGAAATCAGTAAACCTTTCCTCTAAGAGAGCCGGGAATCCTAACGTTTTCAGTTCCTCAGACAAATAGTGGCAGAAAAAGTTAAAATTAAGTAAAGTCCTTCAATTCTACACAGACATATTTGGTTTATGTATACTGTATGTTAGTTATTTCTTAAGGGTCTTCACCTCGCCTCCAGGATAGCGATAAAGATATTTCTCTTGATCCCTCAATGCAAACTCATCTGGATACTTGGCTTCAATTTCTGCATAGGTCATTTCTTCACATACCCCCTGAGGGAAGAAGAACTTGTTACAACACACTTGGTTTAAGCAAAAGTGCAACAATGCAACAGGAAGAAAAGAAAAAGCAAGTGGCTGAGATCAGTAACCCCTTTACGTGACGAAAATTGTAGGTATCTTATCTGACGCAGCCATACACTCAGAATTTGTATACTGCACGTCCAGCGTGGTTTGAAGAGGATGGGCTTTTGGTTTTATTTCAAACCCCTTGTTTGCCAAGGATGAAAACGAGCATTCGTTTCCACAGCAACGACCCTGCCATTTCTATTGCTTTAAAGAATTAGAGCGGGAGCAGCATCCTTTGTTCACACAGGACGGTGTGACAGATGCCTGGGATGTTCAATGTTCTTTTCTTTCTCCACTCCAGCTGGATACGTTCACAGCCAGGTCTAGCAGCTCCAGGCATTGTCAGCCCTGTACCAAACCATCCCGAGCCTCATAATAATGGCTGGAGTACATTACACATGGACATGGTTATAAGTGAACAGGAAATAGTGAATTTTATCATGATTAATTTGTTTTTTAAGCATTATTTTCCACCTAGGAAAGCCAAAGGCTTCAATCAGCATTTCAACTCACAGCATCGATCTCGTTGAGAATCTTCCACTGCTCGTATGTGACGCCCAGGGACTCGGCTGTCTGGATCGTCCTTTTCAGCTGGCTCGTCCACACCTTCAGATCGACAATTTCCTGCTCTTCAATGAACTTCTTCAGCGCCTGAGCAAACTAGAAAAAAAAAAAAAAAATCAGGAGAGATTAGAAGGGAGCAGGAGCTGCTGCCGCTGTTCAAAGCATCATTGCAAGGGCTGTGGCTGTCGCGGCACGATGCAGCTGCGGGGCTGCCCCTCGCAGGAGGGGGACGCAGAGCCCGGCTCTGCCCCTGGTCACACAAGATTTTACAAATACAGCAACCCGGGTGCTGCCAAACACATACCTGCTTCCCACGCGGTGACAGACCAGAATCCCCACCAATCTTGCCAACAAGATTATATTCACTCTCACCGTGTCGGCAAAGGTAGATGGTACGTGGCTGGACATGAATGTTCATTAGGTAATAGACGATTTTACTCTGGATGTAATCTTGGACTCTGTTTACTAGGAACCGCTGTCCCACATTGATCACTTTAATGAAGGAAAGATCTCTGGAGTCAACATAAAATAAGAACACCCACACGACTGGTTTTAAAAATGAAGCACGTGCATCTGCGGGTGTAATCTAGCTATTTATCCTCTAGTAAAGGCACCAGCACTACCACTGGGTCGCTCCAGCAGACAGAAGAGACACTGAACTGCCACGCTTAAACAAGGAGCTGCATTACACTAGAGAAAAATCTTATCACTTGGGACCCGAAGATATCACCTTCACACAAGCAATCACGCTTTGGGAGAGCAGAGGTCTCTAGCAGATGTGTTACAGCATCCTGAGCCAGAGAACAGCAGCAACAAAGCAAACCAGCTCATGTGTGCAAGGACAAAATGCACCCCCAGGGCTTCACTTACTTGTCATACACATCGGGATCGAGAGGCTGGTAAGTGACCTTGTAGCACTCTATCCTCTTCAGGAAATCATCCATCACGTTCTCCCTGTTTCTCTCCGGGTAGTCGGGGCTGGAAACTTTCACCTCCTGATCAACACACAGCACCACTTTGTGAGAGTTAAGCAAACTCAACAGGGAACAGAAGCAACACTGAATAACATTATTCTTCCCTTTTGAAACAAACACACATTGTTTAACGCTGCCCTTTGGAAAAACCTGCTCCTGGAGAGGAAACAAAGGGCCACTCTGAAGGCTCCTTGGCTCCACGACAGACACAGCTGGCTCGCTGTTAGCTGTCCCTGCAAGCCACTCGCTGCCTGCCTTCCCCTGACAAGAAATCACGCTTCAAGGTCAAACATTTCTCAGCTTCATTTCACTTGCACGTTCTCACATAACTAATTGTATCTTTAGCTTTTACAAGCCTGCAAACCTTAGCTGCTTATTTCCAAGGTGACATGGAAGAGCAAGGCCTTTGCAGACATTCCTCTAAGCTACCACAGCCGGTGACCTTGCACTGAGCACCCGAGCTACCACGGTAGGCACTGGCAGCTCAGCCTAGAAAATGCAGCACGCACCAGGATATTTGCAGCAATGACTTCTGGATCGTCACAGACAGACTCCACAAAAAACACCTACAAAGAAGGCAGGGAAGCATATTTCAGAGTCGAGAACTGTACTCCAAATCGAAACTCAAGAGCCCCTGCCCCAGGGAGCAGTAACACCCCTTGGTGCAGCAGCTCCAATGACAAATTAAATACTGGAGCACTACCTTGAAAGCATTTTCTTTAGCAAAATTTAAGATCAGGTCCCGTCTTTCTCGAGTTGTGTTGGTTGCATCAAACACCTAGCAGAAAATAAGGAGCAATGAGCAAGTTTGTTTAAGGCTTTTAAATCAGCCCCAAATCATTTGGGATTACCATCAGGTCCCCAAGTGCCCTGGGCACCTTTGAATCACCCAGATGTAAAACCATGTTTAGTCCAGAAAAGTCTTACAGCTATTTGCCCACACTCCTCCAAGAGATAAGCCTTCACGTCCTCTAGAGCCACTAAGGCACATCGTCTGCAGGAGAGAAAGGGATACTGTCAGAGCTCATGTAAAGCATTCAGTCAGCAAAGCTTCTGAACCACTGGGGAGATTTAAATACCTTCTCTCTCTGCTCACAGAGCACCCACCCCTGCATCTTTCCAAGAGCCCCAGAGATCATAAAGCATCTGAAGTGGGTCTGAACACACTGCATCACCCCTGTTCTTTGTGCCAGCCCAAAGTCAGCGCCAACGCTCCCACGCACAGTCCCTCCGGCAGGATCCCTGCATGGGCTATGCTACCTCCTCCCCTGCCTTTATGGGCATTAAATGCTATTTTGTGCTCCTCAAATACAGAGCCTGCCAAGATCCGAGACTAAACAGACCACCATGGGTCAGTTCAGCCCCCTGACACCGACTTACTTGCGGATTTCCATGGCTTCTTTGTTATCGTGCCTGAAGAAGTCATAGGACTTGTAAGACTTCACCGCTTCCCGGCGATACACTCCTAAATTAAACACTTCACACACAAAAGACGAGCTCGTGAGCCTGACAGTGTTTCACAGACAGAGGTCATGGTGCTTTGGGCAAAGGGCAGAGCCACCCCGGCACCGGGGCGAGCCAGCAGCCCCCGCACACACCTTTGGTGGGCACCCCGATCCAGTTGAGGTAGCGGGTGAGCTTCTTGGACACGTAAGTCTTGCCGCGCGCGGGGAGGCCAATCATCACGATCAGTGTCGGGGAGTTGGTCATGTAAGATGCCCATGCTGCAAAAAAAAAAAAAAAAAAAAAAAAAAAAAGAACAAAACAAAACAAAAAACAAACCACCCAGGAGCATCAGCACTAGCGTGGAGAATTCCCGAGCAAGAAGCGAGCCCCAACCCCAAACCAATCCCCCCGTGTGAAGCTGCCCCATCTCCCGGACAGACAGACGCAGCCCTACAGCTCCTGATGGGCTCGCTGGAGTGGCCTCACTGCTAATTAACTGCTGCAAGCAGCGGCCGGACTGCTCTGTGGTCTCCCAGGTGTTAGCTAATGAGGCGGGTTAGCAACGGTGCACCCGCTGTCCCTAATGGGGCGAATATATGAATTTTAGCGTTAAAAATATTTACCGATTGGGCAGGAGCTGTCAAGATGTTTTTAACAAAACGAACACGTCCTCTTGGAAAAAAACCTAAAGCAAGCTCAGAAAATGCCCGGGGAGAGACAGTTTGCGGGAGGGGGGGGGGGGGGGGGGGGGGGAAGCGCGGTATGCGGGGCATTACAGCATCCAGAAGTTGGGCAAAAAAAAAAAAAGGAGAAGCTGGGGCGGCCCCGCGCGGGATGGATGCGCGTTTCAAGGGAGCCGCGCGCTTTCCTACGCGCCACGAGCGGCGTTATCCCCCTAATTATTATTAATTTTTTTTTCAAATGCTCGGAGCGCACAGCTTTCCCCTCCCCGCCCCGGGCCGCGGTTACTCACAGCACTTCTTCTCGCCGCCGCGCAGGGCCCCGGCCCGACCCCGGTGCCGGGGGGCCGCCGCCATGGCTCCGCGCCGCACGCGAGCCGCATGCGAACCGCACGCCGATCGCACGCCAACCTCACGCCAATCGCATGCAAATCGCATGCAAATCGCATGCAAATCCCGCCCGCAAATCGCGCGGCCCGACGTCAGGGCCCTGCGATCGCGATGGGCGGCGGCGTCTCGCGAGAACCGGGCGGGCGGCGGCGGCGGCGGCGGCGGCAGCGGCCCCGCCGAGGATGCTGCGGCTGCGCTGCAAGGCCCGGAGCGGCTCCCACCCGTTGCCCGGCCTCACGGCCCACTCCCGCCTCCGCGACATGCAGGCCGCCCTGGCCGCCCTCACCGGCGTCCCCCCCCCGGCGCAACGCCTCCTCCTCGGCTTCCCGCCCCGCAGCCTGGACCTGAGCGACGGCGAGCGGCGGCTCAGCGACCTCGGCATCCACTCGGGTGAGGGGCCGGGTGGGCGCGGCGGGAGGGCGGGCGCTCTGTGACCTCTGCTGCCCCGCCGGCTGCAATTACCGTAATTAAAAGAGGCTGCGGCCCAGCACGCCCCTCACCGGCCGGCTGCAATCCCGGGGGTAGCTGCCAGCCGTCCCGGGGACCCCTCGCCGGTGCCGGTTCCACCCGCTCGGGAGGCAGGAACGCGGGGCCGGGAGTCGCCGGGTGAGTCCCCCGATCCTGCCGCGCAGGCTGGGTGGGCGGGCTGCGGTGCTGCGGGGGGCTCGGGGGGGTGTTTTCCCGCGGGATGCCGCGCTGCCGGCGCAGCGAGCGCGATCCCTACTGCCAGCGGTACCGCCGCGTCGTTTCTGCTTTAGGGGCGGGAGCATCTTTAACTCAATTCTTCCTCCTTCTGTGTTCGGCAGGCGACACTCTAATAGTGGAAGAGGATACCTCCAAACCCAAGACTGCCTCGCCGGTAGCTGCAAAAAGAACAATGTCTAACTCGGTTAGGGAAGCTGTGCCTGTGCTTGCGAGGAGGGTCGTTCCGGCAGATAACTCCTGTCTCTTCACCAGTGTGTACTACGTGGTGGAGGGGGGCGTTTATGACCCGGGTTGCGCTCCAGAGATGCGCAGCCTTATAGCCCAGATAGTAGCGAGCGATCCCGAATCTTACTGTGAGGCAGTTTTAGGGAAAACTAACAGGGAGTATTGTGACTGGATCAGAAGAGAAGAGACTTGGGGAGGAGCCATCGAAGTGTCCATTTTATCCAAATTTTACCAGTGCGAAATCTGTGTGGTGGACACACAGACAGTCAGAATCGACCGTTTTGGGGAAGATGCCGGTTACACTAAGCGGGTCCTTTTAATTTATGATGGGATTCATTACGATCCTCTTGAGCGTAAAATCCCCGACTCGGACGTTCCTCCCCAGACCATTTTCTCCACGACTGATGATATTGTTCTTGCACAAGCATTGGAGTTGGCAGATGAAGCCAGACGGAAGAGGCAGTTTACCGATGTGAATCGCTTTACGCTGAGGTGCATGGTGTGCCAGAAGGGACTAACTGGACAAGTGGAAGCCAGAGAACACGCCAAGGAGACTGGACACACCAACTTCGGAGAAGTGTGACATCTGCATGAGGATGGTTACATCGACTACCTCACCGATCCAGAATAAAATTCTGGATTTCCAGATAAGCTGTATGTAATCATAAAATTCCATTCACGGAGCTTGAAAAGCATATTAACTTAATGGTGGCCAAGATGCACAGGTTTGTTATGGTTAGTGACTTTTCCAACGGATTTGAAATAGGTATCTTCTCGCATGCTAATTTATAGTACTTTGGCAGGTGGTATACACTGGCAGCTAAAACTTGATTTCTGAAATAATCTGTTTGTGTGTGTCATCTGAGCGGACATACAAAACCAGGCTTCTTCAACACTAGCGTAAAATCTCGCCTCTGAGTTACTGAATTAATCTCTCTGTGTTATGTTTTCAGGGTAGTTAATCTAAGGGTTTGGGAAACACACGTATCAGCATTACTTATACTAGGAATTAGACTCTGCACATGCAAGCAGTTCTTGAAGGGGAAACTGCTTATTTGGTGCACAATCTTTAATGGAAAGAGTATCTCCAAAGCTGCCCTATACTATGTTACCATCAGAAGTAGACTGTATTGTTTGTGTAAAGTCATGGCTTTAGAGAAAGAAATGGCCTCTAAGCTTTAAGATAGCCTTCTTTAAATTAATGAGTAGATGGTTAGGTGTTGAATAAACTTATTAATCCTCCATAGGTAGTTTTTAGTTGCTTGAAAAATAACTATCAACCCCCTGGTGTTTACACTGCATCAGAACATAGGCATGTTTCTTTTGAAATACTTAAGATTCTTCTTCATGATAGTATCTGAAATTCTGGCAAGAGGGAAATATAGTGGTTAGGGAAATGACTTAATTTGCATCTGTTAAATACACTTAAGCAGACTTTACTTGGGTAAACCCGATCTCACGGCCACAGTGTTACTAAGCTGTACCAGATTCCAAATACTGTAAATTAGCACTTTAAGTTATAGTTCTCTTCACCAACAAAAAGTTTTGCCCTTTTTAAGAAGGACAGAGTGCTAACCCGGAAGGGAGGCTTGAAGTTTCTTCATCTGCATTCTGCCTTAATGTGTTTGTTGATACGTCACTGATGACTGCTCAGTAGCAAGACTTTAATTCTGATAATGAAGGGTGCAGTTTAATTTTCAGAACAAAATAAGCTGTGTAAACTGCCCTACTTCTCATACTGTTCAGTATCAGGGAAGTTGAAATTGGTTTAATATATCTTACCTCACAGCGGGGTTGTGAGGCTTAACAATAAGTGCTTTTGAGGTCTCTTTAAAAGGTGCTGTAAAGGTGCATATTACTGAAAGGGATTTTTTTTTTTTCTTCAAAACGCCTGTAAAACACACTTATTTTATTGAATTTTAAAATATTCTTAGCCTGCTATTCTTCTGTTACTCTGTTTTGAGTTACCTTCCTTGCACTTTTACAAATGGGGAGCAAGAACATTCATCTTTGGACTAAGGCAGAAATAAACTCACTTTCTGAGGGGAATCTAAGATCTAGTTTTAAAAACTCCATTTGTTAAAGCATCCAGCTAAATCCTGGTGCAGCAAACACTTCTTTTCTATAAAAAGCATGTTTCACAGAAGTTCTCAGCTGAGGCTCCCAGTTGGACTTTGAGATACTTGAGGGTCCTATTGAAGAAGGGACATAATTACATAAGTGCTTTGCTGAATTGAGGCAAGAATAATTAAGTATAAAGAATGGAATCACTGAGAGCACTATGGACCGGGTTTCTTTTTGATTCAGTATTAAAATACACATTAGCACTGTTGGGAGTTTCCTATAGAAAGCCACCTAACTTCCAGTGTTAAACCCCACTTTGCTTTTAGCCTGTCATTAGGAAAAAAAAACAAAACAAAACCAAAACAAAAAAAACAACAAAAAAAAAAACAACACCAAAACCCAGCATTAAAACCAGCCCTCTAGAAGCTGATGCTTGTAAACCTGAAGAAATATCTGATGGTTCAAAGGAACTTGAAGATTACACTGTGTTATAACTACTTGAGATGAAATACTGTCTAGGAACGAGACCAAGAGACTGTCAATCCTAAATTGTATTCTCAGCTTTCACACTGAAGCGGTGAGACGCCTTGGACAAGGAGCTGATCCTCACCATTGGCCATCTGTAAAATGGACGCAATACCTACCTCAGAGAGGGGTACAAGGTGACTGTCTTTGGGTGTCTTTGAAACAGAAGTGGAAGATACATATGTATTGTCTGCCATGTTTGCAAATGCATTGACTTTGGGGAGCAACACTTAGATGTTAGCTTTGTATCCTGGATGGATTTCTGCAAGCGTGTAAAAATATTTTTTTGGGTATTTCTCAATTTCAGTATTTTTAAAATTAGCTTTATTTAATCCAGAGTGTTTAGCTTTGCTATATCACGTTTGCCTTGGGAATCTGCTAACAGAGCATCAGCTCCCTTTGAGGGAGATAGGTCAATATCAGTGCTTGGATGTTTTCTTTTGTTGCCTAGAAAATAAAATCTCTTTGGTTAAAAAAACATCAACTGAGCTGCTTCTTTTTAAAAGTTGATACTGTTACACACTGACAAACTCTTCCAAAGAACAAGTGACCTGTGGTGTTGACTGTCAGTAGGGAAACCTTATGTCCTTAACTGCCAAACAGAAAGTATCTCCAGTATTTAAAATGTAAGATATGGATACATTTAAAGTATAACTCCCTTTCTTTTTTAAATATTGTAAATGTTAGGGGTGTTTTTAGTACCTTTTTACCAGCATTTGCCTGCCCTTAATGATACGATTATAGAAGTATCACAAAAATGGCATCCTAAGACTAGTAGGATGAACTTCTGAACATCACTAATACATTTGCACTCAACTGTTATTAATTCTACAGCAAGGTGTTAGTTACAGCTATTTCAGGAGAGAGGTGTGGGGCCAAGGCTCAGGTACCGGCAGGGAATAGCATCACCTGGCCACACCAATCCAGAAAGCCTGTAAGATACAGACCCATGTCCTTACCATCAGCACTTATTCCCACGTAAATTTAAAATAAGCTTAAAATTTCCTGCTGAATACTTCAGCGCAGAGGTCAGTAGCTAAGTGGGCCCTGGAAACCGAAATTTTTGCCTCGGAGGTGTGCTTACTAAAAGCTGGTTATTGATACTGTTTTACCAACCTGTGTAGCTCTGGTTCTTCGTGTAAGAATTGTGGTTTCCTGGTGCCAGCCTGGCCGTTCCACCAGCACTAAATTCCTTCTTTAATTAAAGAAGAGCCTAACACACTCTAATCACGTGGCCTTTCACAAACATGGTCTATTCTGTGAAGAGATACACATCATCTCGTGGTTATAACAGCACTTTAAAAGCTTGCCTGAGCTTACACGTTGAGCAAGGACTTTCACCGCTGTCGGCAGGGTGTGTTCCCATCGCAGTAAAACCAGCGGCGTTAGCAAACGTTTCCAGTCGGTGTCTCCAATGGCATCCAGTGGTCTAGCCTTCTGGTTTGTGTCTCATCAGTGCAGATCAGTTCCTAGAACATATCTCCTTAAACACGTGCCCCGAGTTGCAAAAATTGCTGATGCACCAAGAAACGTGACAGATGCGTGCGTACTTGTTTAGTGTAGTCTGTGCCTCAGTTCTGGAATTTCAGGTTTGTGCTCTTTTTGCTGGTGTGCACCAGCACCTTTTCTAGGTCTTCCCATCTACACGGTGTGGCCTTGGAGCAGTTTGCATCTCTTTCATTTCCTTTTTGACTCGACTCCCAAGAGACAGTCATGGCAAGAGAGGACGTGGCCGCGCAACCGGTTCAGGATGAAGCTTCTTCAACTGGTTGAACAATAGCTTCTTTTTTAATGGTAAAGTATTTCCGCTGTGTAATTAGAGTCAGGTAGCAAGAGGAACAAGCATAAAGAGGGTTTTACATACCTCCAGAATCTTTTAGGCATTTAAATATATAAATCATTAAGCAGACAGACCTCAGGAAGTTCAGTTGCACACATATCTATTTCATGGATGCAATTGCCTGAGAGACTGGTCTCAGAAGTAAATCAGTAATATTCTGAAGTTTCTGAAGGACAAACTTAATGCCTTAGTTCTTGGTAAATTTACATAAAAAGAGCAATTGCTGGGAAGATAAATGAGAAACGGGACATCTTGTTACATGGTACAGAATCAGTATCTTGCATCTGCACCTTTTCATGTGCAGAGTCACAGCAGAGGCCGCTTGTGACGGTTTGGGAGCAGCGTCTCCTGCACCCATCCTGCTCTTTCTAGAGAGCTGTTCCAGAACATAACTGCTACAGTCGTGATCCACCCCAGGGCAACAAAGCCACGGTGAAGCTGCACCGGCAACGCAGGAACACAGCGTTTGTTTTTACAAACATTTGTGACATAAGCAGTATTATCTATTTGCCATTCTCAGCTTTTGAGGAAGCAGGACCGAGGGGACAGGCACAAATGAAGAAAATGCAGAATTTCTCTGCTGACTGCCTGAAACACAAATCCATGTGTCGATGGAGTCTTTGAGAAATCAGACTGACACACAACCGCTGAAGCGTCTGCGTTCGGCAGCTTTCCCTGCCTGCAGCATCAGAGGGCGGCTCTGGCTCCTGCCCCACGCAAACCCACCCGTGGGTAAGCCCTGCAAACCTCTCCCTGGCAGGGAAACTCTTTAATAAGAGGAACAAAAAGTTTTCAGTGCGCTGTTTAGAAAATTACAGCTCTTTATCATACAAATTAAAAGTCTGCCTGTGTTTTAAATCAAGCTATGCGTCCAGTTGTAAAACTGCCATCAGGTTTTTCTCTGTTTGGGACTGGGCAGAATAAAAATTACTTCAAATTGGCTGAAATCAATATTTCTTTCTCACTCCTCTGAGTCTGAGCACCAGAATGCAACAACGGAACGCAATAGGGGAGTTAACTAAATTAGGTTGTCCAAGATTGCAGTGTCCTTGTCTATTATTTTTAATTAAAGCCTTGGGGAAAACGTTGGGAACTGTATTATGCCTTGAGAGCTGACTCCTTATTTCTGATGTAGAGTTAATGCTAACCAAGCTATGGAAACAGATCACCTCAGCTCTCTAGCTCTTTTCTGTAAAGTAGGGATAATAAATACGGTTCCTTGCTCGGTTCACAGCCATATTAAGATTTAATTATTTCTCTAAACTGCTGTGTAATACTAGGTATTAACTACCTAGCATTTTTCATAATTGCTTTGCCAGCATACATACTATACGTACAATTTGGTCTAAAGAAAGTGTCCAACAGTCCTACAGAGTCAAGTAAACGTCATTACGTTAACAGGTATCTCATCGGTGACGCCGTATGGATGAGTTTCCTTCAGGGCCAGGCCTGAATCATTTGTGTTCTTTTGTTTATGAACAGGGTGAGGCACGACGGGTCTGTTAACATGCCAAAGTCCTTTCACAGCTTTGTGTAGTTTTCTTCTGCATCATTTGACTACCTGCATATACTTCATGCCGTATATATGAAATCACACTGTATTTTGGGTTGTAGCTATTTATATTTGTTGGAGGAAGAGGAACGTGGAAAAAGAACAGGTTCTTTCTGGGCATCTGATTCAGAGAAGCTCAAGACTGCTTTGAATGGATCGTGACATTTTCCTGACCTCCACGGAGCCCTGCAGGCAACAAGCTCTACCTATTTTCTTGGACAGATTTAAGTCCTTGTGGTCTCAGGACACACTTTCCCTATCCTGGAGTGGCTGCTCGTTCACCTTGTCCGAACATGCAATAAGAATTAGCTCTGGGTTTGATTTGCTCCCTTTCTTGAAGCAAGCTCTGGTGCAGGCCAGCATGGGAGAGCCGGGCTGGCCGGGGCTCTCAGGAGCTCGGGCTTGTTGGTTTGCTCCTCAGCACATGTTCCCTTTCGTAACCGCGCACAGCCGGGGCTCAGCAACGCTGGCGGGAACCGCCGTGCTTCCTGGCTCATCTGCTTTTTCTCCATCCTACCACAGTTTTAATTAACTGATGATGTTTCCACTTCCCTGTTCTTTGTAGCCCAGAACACGTGTTGCAACACAGCCTTTTTCTAAAAAAAAAAAAAAAAAAAAAAAAAATAATAAAAATCGTTGAAACATGAAAAACGTGAATGAATGTGATGACTACATCAGTTCTGGAAGTTTGCTGCAGGGCTTCTGCTTAGATATTTATAGTTACTCAGTGAGGAGCACCTTACAGAGCACATACAAGTCTATGCTGGGCGGGAGCAATGGCCTAAGCATTGTTTATCAGAGAGAAAAGTTGTAACTTTAATAGGAGCACCCAAAGTTAGGGCAATAATGAGCTGCAGCACCCCCTGGGCAGATCGGGTGCTGGGGGTCGGCATCACCCAGTGCTGCACAGGGTGCTGCAGGTGGAATAACTGGGCTCTTCTTTACCTTCCCCCTGGAGAGGGGCAGCAGATGTGACACCCTCGCCCTTGGAGGAGGGGATGCTGCTGAAGGAGGTGCCCCAGCAGCAGTTTCTGGGAAGGTGTCGGTGTGAGCAAGGAGGGTGGCTGAGGGGAAGAGGAGCCTGAGAGGTGTCTCGGGGGCTTCAGCTTTACCCAGGCTTGTGGACTGGACCTCAAGCTGACAAGCAAGAGAGATTCCAGCATTAGAGAGACAGGGAATGAACTGCAGAGGGGCTCAACGCTTGCAGGGAAGGATGGCAGGAGGGGGACCTGCAAGTCAGCAGCTGGTCAGTCCGTGCTGAACAAGCCCCAGAGCTGTGCACGACCTGGGCACCCCCTCCTCTAGCACATAAATAAAGCTTAGTGGTGAAGCTTCCCTTCTAAAACGTCTTTTTACCTGTTTTTACAAGAATTTCCTTACAGCGTACAGCAGCAGGCAGCAAACTTTTGGTCTCTGGGAAAGCTTTGGTGATATGCAAGTATATACCTGTTCCAGCAACAATCTGTGTTTTTAGAGCCAAGAAGGAACCAGATCCTATCCTGAGCTGAGGGACCTCATGCACAAAACCACCGAAGAGAATAAACCTGTTGTGGGGTAATGCCTTCAGCCTCGCACGGCGCAAACGCCCAGCAAAGGACTTAATTACTACGTACAAAGGCGCTTCGGTCAGGGCTGCGCGTTCGGCTCCTCCGCGTGTCAGCGAGCAGCTATGCGGCAGAACAGGATGTCGGATTAAGGAGTCTCCAGCGAAACCCGTGCTGAGGACATCAGAGGACACCAGCCAAGCCGGGAAGTGAGTGAGCTGGGTGGTACCGAGCGGAGCTGCCCGCAGCCTCCCGGGCACCGGTGCTGCTGCCCGCCTCTGCCTGCAGCGCGCCGGCTCAGAGCAAAGCTGCTCTCTGCGAGAGAACACAGCACGCAGGGACCCGGCCGCTTCGGGTCAGAACATGCAGGTGTTTTAGGGGCTCGGCCGTGCTGTGACCCCAGCCCGGAGCAGCGGGAAAGCTGCCTGGCATGGGGGCAAGATGAGTTTCTCTCCCCCCGGTGCAGCAGGCTGCAGGTGAGGGGCCAGGGGCTCGCCCGCGAGCGCGTATCCGCCGAGCACCCACCTGCCAAGCACCCGCGCAGCCTTATCTTCACTGGGGAGGCAAGTTAATGTGTAACCCGGCTCTGTTTGGTTAGCCCAGAAAAGCAAAGAAGTCCTGGGATAGGCACAGCCGGGACAAGGATTCGGGCAGCGTGGAACGACAGACGTCCTGGTAAAAAAAAAGAAAAAAAAATTAATAATCTATAATCTTTCTTGTCTTTTTTTTTTTTTTTTTTTTTTTTCTGTCCTTTTCCTGCTGAATGGGCTGTGGGCGAGGGGCTGAGCATCTCTGCCCGGGTGGGACACCGGGCTGTGGGTACCTTCAGGGTTACAGACGTGCTTTGCTTTAGGAAGGGTAAAGCGTGGCTCCAGCGAAGAGGGAGGAGGTGGTTTAAAGCAGCTGGTGGAAGAAAGCTGGGAAGACCAGCAGCTGCTGGTGGAGAGACTGGGAAAACTTGTGCTCAGAACAGCAAACTGCTCAGGCAACTGCTACGTGCACTTGATTTACTTGTTTAAATAGGAAGAACTAGAGATCTGCCGCCATCGTCTGCTTTCACCCTGGGGTGAGATCCGTCCCGCTGTGCTGTTGCAGAGCGGGAGCAGCTGGGATGGCACCTGCAAAAGGCATTTTGCTTTGTTTTGTAGTTCAAGCTGGCCAGGATGAAGCCCTTTGTCAGCAGCTGTAGGACAGAGGGGGCACGGCTGCTTTGCCTTCGACAGCAAAAATACTGAGGTTCTTTAATATTGCTGGAGAGCTGTGGTAGAGTGCTTGTAGTAGTACTGGGCTTAAAAGAAAGTAGCCTCTTCATATAAAGCAATTAGCATTAATTGCTACCCAGCACCTCTTTGATGTTTGAGGCCTCAGTGAGCTTTGTAAAGGACAGTTATGGCAGCTGTCACAAAAGCTGTGCAAACTGACCTTATATTTTAGATAAAAAATAGCTTCTTCTGAAAGCATTTTTAGGGGAGGGAAGATATATAGCATTGAAAAACAGCTTTTCAAGTACAATGTCTTTTATTTTAAATGCTCGGTCATATTTTTAGATTGTGGCTAAACTGCCATGTTATTCAGCAAAATGAAGAAACTGAAAAATCCTTCCAAATCATAAAACCTGGGATTTTTCAACGCTGTTTCCCCCCTCCCTTTCCCAAGTCGGATGAATGCATTAGAGCCATAATCGCATCAGAGAACTAGTGGGCAGGAAAATGAACTTCTTGTTTCTGCACAGATCCTCTCCAGCATCCAGCAAGCTCCGGGCTGAACTTTGCCTCCCCATGACCTGGGGCTCAGCGGGTGCCAAAGCCTTGGCAGCAGCTTTGTGTTTCTGCAAATGCTGTTTGAGCGGAATGAGACCAAATTATTTATTATCCCAATGGGCTGATGATGGTGGGCATCCTCCTGGAGAAATTAGCTCTGTCAAGACACCTCATTAGAGCTGGGTCATGCTGCTGCTCTCCCTCCCCGGGGGCTGCCTTGCACAGCGGACACTGGCTCCGACCAGCTGATCCAGCACAAGCAAAGAGTTTGAGCAAGATTTTCACTTCCCCAGGAGTGTTTTGCTCTCTCAAATTTGTGTGGCAGGGCAGGAGGGAGTGAGGAGCATTGCAGCAATCACAATCAAGCAGATGGTAGCCTCTTGCTGCGTGGAAGCAGATTCGTATTTCTCATTGCAAATATTCGGGTGCACAGTGAAACTGCACCACTTGCAGAAGCCTAAAAACCGCCAAACTCAGACAGTGTCTGCTTCTTGACAGCTAAAAACTCTGGCTTTAAAGTTATCCAAATTCAAAGAATCACAGGTATTGCTGTTCCAAAGCCACCTCTTAATCAAATGTAATTTAAGCAGTAAATAATGCAAAGCTGAGAACGAAATATTAAACTCCTCCTATGTGGAAGGATTGGATCCGTCAGTGTGTGGGTGTTGAAATCTGATTTTTGCGGCATATTCCAATTACAAAGGAATTCTTTCAGGGTCTAACACTGAACAAGCAGCCAATTCTGCTCACTTATCACTAGATCTAATTCCCTGATCCTGCTACAAGAAAAAAAAAGCAGCAGTGTGTTCCTGCGTGCCGTGGCCAGGTTACAGCACAAAGAGCTCCTCTGTCTTCCGATGAGCAAATCCTCTTGCGTGGGTCCGTGTGTGTTGGAGGGGGTGTTTGTTTTGCTGCTCATTAGCCTCTGCAGCCCAGCTCTTCGCTCCCGAAGAATGGGCGGTGCGCACGTAATTGGTGGTGTCAGTAAATTTTGGAAGGTTAATGCTTTACATCCATAAGTAATTATGCCTTTTGTAGGCTGCTCAGCCTCTCCCCGCAGGCAGCAGAGCTCTTGGCCACGCAGCCTGAGAGGATAACTGGCCCCTCTGCCACCCGGGATGGTCTCATTGTTGGGAACCTCCATGGCAAGTTGTTTGTCAGCCAACTGCTACCGCATTCGGGTCTCACCGGTACTGGGGGTACGGGCTGCATCCAGAGGAGCAGAGGGGGTCAGTGGGGTGCAGCCCGGGCACCTCTGTGGCCCCCCAGGAAGGGTGGCAGAGGAAGCTCCCAGCAGAGCAAGGCCGTGACTCAACAGCAGCATTTTGGGTCAACGTGTTCAGAAGTTCAAGAGCACTTCAGCTGCGTAGCTGGCAGCGGTGGAGGGAAGAGATCCCACGAGGCAGCGCTGGGACGGGATCGCTGCTGCCGAGCTCCGAGGCTGAGCTGGGCTTACAGCTTTTTCCTTCACCCAGGAACAACCTTATCCACCCCTCCAAGATGATTAGAGATGGCCACAGATGGGCAGTCCAGGGCTTACTTTAGTTCTGATTCTTGTGGGGTAAACTTCAGTTCCAAGGGTGCTTTAAAAAAGCCCAGCTGCCCCTTCTTCTGGAGAGAACAGCTTAAGACAGAGCATGTTTGCATCCATGCAGCAGCTTCACAGCCCACCTGCCCTCACTCCAGCCGAGCCAGCGTGCTTGTATCGCCCTGGGGAGGGGGGGGTCTCACAGCTTAACGCCTGTCCTTTCTTCTGTTTCAGCCAGGATCTTGCCCCCACACCAGACACTGCAGCAGCCTGTGATATGCCTAGGAAGGAGCTGGGGATGGCTGGCTGCAACTCTGGCAGCTGTGACAGCATGGTCAGCACAGCCTCCAACCACTCCCAGCGTGTAAGTAATCCTGTTGTACCCAGCCCGGCCATGGCAGGGGATCAACTCGCTCCTCTCAGCAGCTGAGGAAGGATTTTGGTCAGATGTTGGCTCGAAACTGCTCTCCATCAGTGCTTTGAAATCACCTAGGGGCCCTGAGACAGCACCATGCTAAGGGCAGCACAAGAGCCAAATTAATTCCTGCCCCAAAGCACTCCCAGACTTTGTCCTGCCACGCATGTGGCAATGATCAGGAGCCTTTGCTTCTGCAAGGTCTCCTCTGGGAAACAATACTGAGAGCGCAGCAGCTCCTGTGTTGCCTGAAGATGCGGAGACAGGTAGCGCAGGCACTGGGCAGGAGGAACCTGACAAGTTCCCCAGTGAGGAATTAGACCAGTTGGATAACTGGGTCAGACTGGCTCCAAGGGTGACTTCACCTGGAAGAGGCAGCGAGCAGTGCTCCTCCCAGCTGACAAGAGATTAATTTCCTAGTTAAGGCAGAGATGAGTTTGGACCATGGGTGTAGATGTGTAATTTTTCACTATCTGTCCATTAAAGCTTGTTTGTCTCCAAACACTGATTCCAAGATTGATGGACTAATTACATCTTGTCTGACTTAGAACATAATTGATATGCGTAAGTGCAACGCTCAGTCCCGAACAGGTTTTCCATTTGATGTATTGCAAACCAGAACCAAACCCTCTGAAATTTATTAGGGATGGAAAAACTGGTTGCAATATTGCATGGTAAAAGATTTGGATACGTGTCTTTCTGCAAAACAACTCCACCTGGGACAATTTCTCCTCTGTGCTTGTTGATCTGATGCACACTCCATCCTTTCCTGCACTTCAGTTCTTTTTGTATACTGCACATATCACCTTGTAATTTGGCACTTCCACAGCAATCATCTCATGATACTTGAAATACAACAAAAATTAAACAGGATCCTGCTGGGATATGAATGGGAGAACAAGGAGAGGGATCACCACCCTCAGATAAGCCTTCAGTATTTATGATGTTTAGGCAAGCTTCTAAGATTCAGCATTGCTGATCAGCATAGGTGTCTGTACCTATAGACCATTTAAGTTACCCAGCTGCTCATATTTCTAAGCAACCTAAAAAACATAAAAGGTAGAGGCCAAGTTTTCAAGTTGAGAATAACCCATCTTCCGATGCTCACCGTAGGATAATATGAAAATGGCTTTAAGCATATATATATATATATATATATATATATATATATATATTAGAGGAAGTTGTCTCATTTTCCAAATTTTTGAATAGTCACTGGCCAAGTCTCCTGGCCAGGAGCTGTCACAGGTCTCCTCTTAACTGCCAGGGCTGCAAATAACAACACACCTCTGTCTCTTACTTGTGCTTCTTTTTTTTCTTTTTGCAGAGCGATAACAGTTATGACTATTTATCTGTGGAAGAGAAAGAATGTTTGATGTTCTTAGAAGAAACTATTGGCTCACTGGATGCAGAAGCAGACAGCGGAGTCTCTACTGATGAGACCGACTATGTGGAGCCCTCCAAGCTGCCCAGGACATGGCCCAAGAGAGACGCTGTTCCTCGGGGTAGGCTGGAAACCCGTGTGCCAGCCCTTGTTTGCAAAGGGCCTTTCTCACTGGCGTGCATTCCCTTGGCAGGCAGGGAAGGAGCATTGCCCCAGTTTTATGCATGTGGCAAGCTAAAGCCAGCTTGTTTTCATCACCCTACGATGAGCAGTGGCTGTAGGCAGCGAGGTAGGTTGGGCACCAGCTGCATTTTCCCAGTTCTCACATGCAGGAGCTTCTAGAGAGCAAGGTCAGAACTGCAGGGCTGAGCATCTTTGTTCATGCTCCAAATGGGCTTACACTGATTAACAAGGTTCCTCATTCACCATGTGCTTTGTCAGGTACAAAGTATCCAACTTCCTTGGCAGCGACAGCATATTACCTGGGGTCAGGGTAAGCTCTCTGGGTGCAGGTACTCTGCCATGGCTGCACTGGCTTAGCAGGCGTGAAGAGGTGTGTTTTGCAAGCAGGCAGGTGTCCTGTGTCCACCTGCAGAACTGTGCATAACTTCATCTCTCTCTCTGCCTAGATTTGGAAAATGGGGCTCCCCCTCTGAGTGCAGGTCAGCAGATTGGAGCTGAACAGAAGAGTGGTAAGAGCACCTCTGCTTTCTCAAGCTCAGCTCCAGCAGCGGTTCCAAGCCCAGACTATTACAGTCTTCCAAGGAGCATTACTGTAGCAAATGCACAAAGAGCAAACGGAGCTTCTGATGGCAAAGCGACTGTCCACACAGTGGAAGAGCCAGTGCCAGCAGGTAAATCTTCAAAGGAGATGACCAAGGAGGACAGGCTTGACCAAGCCAATGCGAGAAGCCAGCTGAAGTCCCTGGAATCTTTGATTATCCAGCCTCCAGATCGCTTCCAGGATGATCTGGTGAACCATGAGTGGTCACGCAGCAATCACTCAGATGCCAAGAGGGAAACAGCCAAGGAGACCAAGACTTGGACTTCGTGGGGCCAGCCAGAGAAATCCACATTGGAAGAGGCCCCTCAGGACCCCGATGCCAAGCGTGGGCCTCCAACTGCCCCCAAACCGCGAAAGTTGCCACCAAATATTATCCTGAAAACCAGCAAAAATAGCCCAGTGCCGCTCACTGCAGAACCCAGCCAGAAGATAAAAGCACCGCCTCCATCCTCGGCCAGCTCCCAGCCCGGCTCTGCCAGTGACACCGCTGCCGAAAAGGTGAACTCGGGGCACCTCGACCCCAAAGAGAGGGAGAAAGCCCGGCGGGAGGCATTGGAGAAGCTTGGACTGTCACAAGACAGGAGGGAGCCCAGCGGCCACCTTCAACCTGCCACGCATCCCCAACCAAGGGAGATGCCATCGCCCGCCCCCGGGGAGCCTGAGGCACGCTGCGGGGCGGCGGAGGGGTCGGTGCCGGGTGGCCGGCAGATGACTTTCAAATCCAACACCCTGGAGCGCTCCGGCGTGGGGCTGAGCAGCTACATGGCCAGCACCAAGGAGCAGAGCGTCAAGACCAGCAGCTCCTTGGGCAAGATGTCCTTCATCGAGCGGCTGGCCCCGAGCTTCCTCAGGAGCAGCCGCCCCCGGCCAGCGTCCCTCGGGGCAGGGAAGGACTTTGCAGGTCTGAAAGAGCTCGGGCAGGTGGAGCAGGAGAAGAGCAGCAAGCGGCGATCCCACCCACTGCAGAGCTTCCCCAGGCCACCCCGTTCCTGCGTCAGTGTGAAGATTTCACCCAAGGGCACGACCGATGAGAACCGGCGAGAGGCACTGAAGAAGCTCGGCTTGCTGAAGGAATAGCTCTGTGGGCAGTGGGGCTGCTGGAAAAGGGGCTTCTCACCCCCGATCCAGATGCCTCCGCTGCCTGTCCTCAGGCAGCGCAACCATAAGCATCTTCTGCTGCAATCTCCTGCCCCAGCATCTCGTGAGGGGTAGTGCAAGAGGCATTTGGAGCTTCACAGCAAAGAAGTAACACCACGTGTACATAATATTTTGTATATAGCAAGTGTATATGAGCTATTTATATAAAGCACCACTCAGCATGTGGATGGGGCATGTTCTCCTACAAGGTCTTTAATGCATTTAGGGATTCATCAAAACAGGGAAGTCATGGAATCGGGGGGTTGGCTTATTTTAAAAGGGGTTGCCCATGGATAAAGCATCTCTGGGAAGAACTGCAGGACTCTGCTGCCCCTTTAGGATTTTATGGTTTTTGTTAACTTGATCAAAGTCTGAGGCCTGAGCACTCACCCACCCCCTGCAAGTGCCTCCCCAAAGCCACCACTGCCACATACAAAACTGTCAGACCAAGAGGCACTGGGGGGGCTCGGGGCGCTCCCCCCCGTGCACGAGTGCTCCTCGTGCAGCGCCTGCACGGACGTGCCGCCGCCTCCCCGCTGCTCTGCTCTCGCAGCCACCCTGACAACCTGGAGGTAGCGCTCCGAAGACGCACAAACATCCGCCTTCATCATGAAGCGACCGTTAAGAAGTGGCAGCCCATGGGTTGGTGGCAGAACCAAAAGTGCTGCCCAAAACGAGGGATGCAAGTCTGAGACTACGCCATTTCATTCCCTTTCGAGCTCTCCTCACATCCTTCAGACCCAGCTGATGCTGTTAACATTTATGCTGCACACCTTTTCAGGAAGGTGGCTTATTTCTGTAATAAACTTGTAAACGATCAGAAAACGACTGTGTAGTACAGATTTGTTGTAGTCAAAGCCCTGGTAAATCTAAACAGTAAGTTTTAGCCTTCAATGGTCTTGTCTTGAGGACTGTGACCCAGACAGCAGCCAGGCGTTGCAAGTGATGAGATCTGAACCAGAGACTTGGGCCTCTTGCAGTCCAGGACCCACACACGATGGGATTTTGTGTAAGCGCTTGCAGTGCAATAAGCAAAGTCCTCCATGGCACTGCCATACTGGGACAGGTGACACGGGACCTGCTGCTGCTCCAACAGATCCCTTCCAGGCTGCACCACCTCCTGGGTCTGTCGGGACATCTCCCACAGCAGCTGTGTTAGTTGAAAAGCCGCACTAACAGTTTAGCTTTAAAGGATCATTTTATTTTCTTCACCAAAAAAACCTTTCATGCAATCCTGACTTTCAGTGTTGGACACCTGGAGAGAGTCTCTGCTAATAAAGCAAGCGCTTTTGTACCTAACAAGCAATTTAATTTCAAAATTAATGTGGGCTTTCTTTAGAGAGAGGGGCTGACCCATGGAGGAAATTGCACTAAACAATTTACTGACATTAATTAACTGCTTGCAGAATTAAGATGAAGTTGCACTCAATCATTTTCATCACTGACCTTGCAGTACAATTGGCTTTTCAAGACAGCGTTGTGAATACAAAACAGGCTTTTACTGACAAAACCCAGAGCCAGGCTTCTAATTCCTCTCGAAACAGGCATCAGCAGAGCTTTGGTTTTGCATGGAAAAAAGGGGAGGGCACCCCCCTGATAAAGCTGCATCATATCACAAACCCCCGCATAAAAGGTGTGCACGAGTGGAAGGAATAGTCCTGACCCACATAAAGAAGCCAACAAATGCGTGACAGTGATGTCCGATTAGCTACGCTTCACAAAAGCTGGGAAACGCCTGTTTGTAAAGCGATTCGCTAAATTTAGTTTTGGGCTGATGAGCAGTAATGCAAACCTGTACATTGGGGAGGCAACCAGGAGCAGCCGCATGGGCTAAGGTCTGACCAAAGCTCAGCAAACACCGTGCTATGTATACTTTGTCCCCGAAGAGCGAAGGAGCCTGGGAGGATTTTATCTCCCCCAGCCTGAGCCCAGCACCTCCTTTCAAGCCTGGAGCTGGCTCAGCAGCAGCCGGGCAGGACTGGCAAACCGCTGCGTGGTTGCACACCGTGGGTGACAACCGCAGCCCAGAGCCCCTTGACCTGGGGCAGGGGTGGCTGTGCCACGTGCCTGGGGCATCGCCAGCGGCTTAAGGGGTTTGGAGGGGGGGGGTTAGGCAGGATTAAGGTGAGAACCTGTCCCAGTACGAGTGGGTCATAATAAACACAGCCAGAGCTGGGGTCCCCCCTGTGCAACCTGGTGCACGGGGCCTCAGGAAGGTGCCTCTGGGCTAATGCATGGCCAAAGAGCAAGGGGGCTGCTCTGTGCTTACAAACACACCGTCCTTCCCCCTCTTCCCCCAGCTGCCTGCTTGCTCCTCGGGGCCTGGGCCACCCTGGCCGAAGCAGGAGGCAGAAAGAGCGGCTTGGTTTTCAGAACCCGCTCCCAGACTCTGCAAAAAGCTCCGTGGAGCTAAGAGGTGGCCATGCTCCCCTGCGAGAGCAGGATGCACCCATCGGTATCAGGGCTTGACTCTGGGTGGCACCAAGCAGGGTCATGTGTCTGCTCTTGCGTAAGGTCCCAGCACAGGAGTCACGCAGCCCGCGGGGATAAACACCTTCATTTCTAATGGCTGCAAATGTACCCAGCCTGTAAAATGTCGTATTTTGCTTGCAGGATTAAACAGCAACGCCTGCTTTTGGAACGGGGCTTGCCCGTGGTGAGTGACTCAACCCAGAGGGCCCAGCAGCAGCAGAAGCACTTCACCCCGTGGAAAGGGGCAGATCTGGAGTTCATTCCCAGAGAAATGACCTTGATCTGTGGCTGTCAATTTATTCTCTTTTGTTTCCGTTTCATACCAACCAGGCCATATACACAACTACTGTTAATGAACATTGCTGCACCGACTCATAGCATACTAAGAAATCTTTGAAAATGAGATTTCTACTAGGAAGTATAATGAAAACTTCGCTTTCATGCTTGACATGTATGTTAAACTGTAGTACTCCCTAGTTTTGACTAAAGCCAAAGATTTTAAGAGAACCCTTTGTCTCCAAAATACCTGTTTTTAAGAGAAGTTAAGATTCTGTTTCAGGCAAAAAATGCTTTGAGAGAGATCTTAATACTCTCCTCCTTTCCCATTAGATAAACAAGGTGAGATTTCCTTTGAGACTGCAAGTCCTTTATCTACATTATGCAAGAGATGTGCAGCAGGACAGAGCATTAAGTAGCATAATGCTGGAATCAGCAGCAGGCAAAACGAGTGGTCAGAGGAAAGGAGCACGTGGATGAAAATACACCACTAAACCACGCAAGAGCTGGCTTCAGAGGGCTTCCCTCAGAGCTTAATCTTGTATCCTCCTCAACTCTTTCATTCATACCATGCTCTTGCTGCCTTTAAAGTCAATCATTTACACTTGAAAGCCTACGAGCTCTGGAAGGGCAGCGCTGGGTGGGAACCTCTCCTGCTGCCTGTCTGCACATCAGGCGGGTTGGAGCCTGCCAGCTCACACGGGCAGCGCCAGGTATCCCCACTTTTGTTTGCAGGAGGAGCCAGGAAGCAGCATCAGTCACAGCAGCCCTACATTTACAGTCACCTGGATAACTGCTCCCCAGCCCTGGCCTGCTGGAGCACTCCCTCCTCGCCAGGCAGCGAGGACCACAAGGAGCAAAGCTCTCCTGCTCTGACGTAGCCCACAATCCATAGACACAAAGGAAGAGATTTACCTTCGCTGTAGCCCAACCTGCATCTCGCATCAGCAGAATCTCCAGCAACATGCTGTTCCTTGTCCGAGTGCCAGTGGGATCCCCACCATCACCTGATGGAGCAGCAGCCAAGCCAGCCCCAGTTTGCAGACTGGCAGGAGCCCAAGGTGGGTGGTGAGCCTCTCTTTTATAAGGGGAGAGGCTGGTGGGCACTGAGCTGAGCAACTGACTGCCCCAGCTGGGCTCCATCGGCACGGACACAGCTGATGCGAGGAGCTGCTCCCCTCACAGAGACAAGGGAAAGGCTGCTCCTGCCTCGTAAAACCTATTAATGGCATTTGGGGGGGGCTGGGAGGTGGTCGAGGGACAAGCAAGAACAGAAGTAAAATCTACCTCCGCATTCAGCCAGACTTCAGCCGAGTTCCCAGGCTCTTGTCTGGCTATCTCTGAAAGCAGACTTTGTACTACTTAATTCTGCGCATAATTTCCTTGATTTGTGCCCAGAAGGCAAAAGCATGGCAGACCCTAGCCAAAAAATCAGTCATGAAGAGAGATCATAATATTTCAGAAATAACCTGAAGAATTGGTAAATGTACCCTCAGTGCCTTAATGCAGATTATACGGACTGTGTTTATGTGGTGCAACAGTGTTAGAAAAGACCCAAAGAAAACACTCAGCTTCGCATTTTGCATGGAATATTCATCTACTTCTTAAGTATCAGTCCCATACTGGCTCAGACATATCATTTCCATGTCTACATGAGCCTGTCAAGACCTACTATCCCAATTAAAAGCATTCTTGCGCACATCTTTCATTACAAAGATCAAATTCAGGAGAAGTGGTTTGTTAAATTCTGGCGGTATCAAAGAACATCAGCTGTACTGGGCCACAGCCTCCAGGAGAGATTGGTCGTCTTAATAATAGACTTTGTGACCGTGCAGCAGCTTCGGTGTGGGTGTCAGCAGGGAGCCCCGGGGCTGGCGCTCCCATGGGAGGTCGGGGAGGTGGGTTGGTTACTGCTGGCCCAACACGTCTCCAGCTGGAGAACATCAAAGCTGGGCTGTGAGAGCCAGGGACCCGCTGGAGCTGCTCCAGCTCTGTGGGAGAGGACTGTAGATGGCCGAGGGTTTTCAACCACGGCCCAGAAGGGTTTGGGCAGTAGCCGGTAGCTGAGGATCAGCCTTTTCCCTGCTCACGTCCAGATGGAGAGAAGGACCTTCTCCAAGTTCAACTACTCTGACAAAAAGGAGGGATAAATCACTCCCGTTTCAAGGAGTATTGCATCTCTCCCTGTTTCGTAAAGTCACCGGGATAATCTCTATGCTTTACCCAATCCGCCCAGTTTCTCTTCCATTTGGTGCTTTGTGTCGGTGCTCACAGCAGTGCATGACAAATGGAGGAGGCGGGGGGGAATGCTCCTGTGCTGGTGCAATGGCACTTGGTATTCCTGTTGCCCCAGCCGCATAAATGACCACACAAGGAGGAAGGCAATGGGACCCGGACCCTGGGTCTGCACGGGACTCATCCACCTGCGTGCTGTGTTTAATACAAGAGGCTGCTGCTTCAGCTGAACTTCTGGGCGATGCCTTAATCCCTGTAGGCATGCTGAAAAACTGTGAGCTTCTTGGTGGTTGTGATAAACTAAGGCTTGGCAGAAGTGCTGCTGGGGTTCAGCTTGTGTCACCCTGTCCCAGGTCCCCGCGCCCCAAGGCCAGACACAGAGCTGAGCCCAGCCTGTTCATCAGCCCCGAACATCACAGGGGCTTCCCTCCAATTACGCCAACCAACCACAGCAAGTCCTGGTCATTTACAGTTATTAATCATGAAAAAACAGTGTGGCAGACCCACAAGCACAGGAACAACATTCCCTGAAAATTGGTGTCCTCTTAACTCCCCTCAGCCAAGGGTTAGCTGATGTACAGAGCTGTCCCGTCATGTTAAAAGGTGACTGTGCAGTGGGTGAACTCAGGTGAATCTGAGTTCAGCTCAGATCAACACCAGGAGCGGCCCGGCTGATGCCTGCCCATGTCCAGGACAATCTAGTGCAGGATTTGACACAATATACTCTGCGTTTCTTTCCATTAGCTTTTTTCCTGTTCTTTATTTCTGGTGGAATTTTAAAAGAAAAAGGCAGCCGTACCCCCAAACCTTGTCACCGCCACTCCCACGTGTGCGGTG